GTGCGCGAGAGCGCCTCGGAGACGCGCGCGGGCTGGTGCGCCGCGAGCGCGCCGGCCGCAACAATGCAGTCCGCCGCGGCCGCGAGCGCGCGCGCCACGCCGTCCCCTGCGCCCGCGCAAGCGCTCGACGCAGACGACGACGCCAGCTCGTCCGCCGCCTGTGGCAGCAGGTCGGCGCCGGCGGCGAAGACGCCCAGCCAGTCGACCGTGGGCTCGTCGACGGTGTATGGGATGCTGACTGCCGCCAGGCGGCGCGCGAGCAGGGGCTCCCCATCCAGCAGGGTGCGCATGAGGGCGAGTATGAGGGTCAGGTCCTGTGGGAGGGGGGAGGGGCAGGCATTAGACAGGGCGGGCATCCGGGCTCAATGCCAGTATGGAGCAGGGATCGGGTAATGGTTGGTAGTGACTTCGATAATGATCAACATTGGTTGATGATGGTGAGTAATGATTTCTGATGATTGGTAATGGTTGGTCATCATCAGCGATGCACTCAGGTGCAAGCGCGTTGCGAATCCTAGAGCCTTTGAAGCAAAGGGCTACCGACTCGCCATACGAAGGACAAGACGCGAGCGACCGCGCAGCCAGCGCGCCCCCCGCGGCCCACCTCAAACTCTGCGCCGCCTGACGCGCCGCGCCCCGCCGCGCGCGCCTCGGCGATGTATCGCATGCAGTGCGCCGCGCGCGCCAGCAGCAGCACCTGGCCGGTGCCCTGGTCCGACTGGACCTCCCACTGGATCAGCAGCTGCTCGGAAGCTGCCGGCCCAGCAGCGCCGGCCGACAGGAACACTGGCAGGTCGATCGCCTTGCCTCGGCTCCCCTGCGGGCCGGCAGGAGAACATGGCCGCACAACACAACAAACGAGGGTCGCTGGTGAAACACCAGCTCTGTCCTTGTGCGGCGCATGCACGCCGGCCAGCCATGGGCCCTAACCAAACACAAACGCACTCCATCGCGCGGCCTCCTGCCCTGCCAAGCGACAGCGCCCGGCCTGGCGCCGCTCCGCACCCTCCTCGCCGGGCTCCGCCTTTTTCAAAGCCGCCCCACCCCCGCTCTGGGGTCGTCTGGACCCTCAACCCTAGACATGAAAACAAATGCATGGCCCACCGGCGGCAGCGTCGTCCCCAGGACCTCTGGCGCCATGGACCATGGCAGGTCGTCGCAGAAAAACACGTCAGACCCCGCGCCGGCCTGGCGGATGCCCGGCTGGCCCTGGGGAATACGGACCAAGGAACGCGGAGAATGCTGAGTGCGGCCAGTCGTGCGCGGCGCAGGCGCCCCGCACCAGCGAATTGCTGATCCAAAGAGTTTGAACGCAACATATACTCGCCCTGCCGGCCCCAAGAAGCCAGCCACATCTAGCAAGCACTCGGTGGTCTTCAGGGCGCCCGCACCTGCTCGTGCAGCACCGTGAGCACGGGCTCTCTCGCCAGATACGCGTACGCCTCCGCCGCCCCGCCGCGCCCCGACCCCAGCGCCGCCAGCAGCCGCAGCAGCGGGCGCGGGAAGGCGGGGAACAGCGCGCAGCACTGGTGCAGCAGCGCGCGCAGGGGGGCGGTCAAGAGGAGCGTGTCGTCCCACACATCGGCGGCGAGGCCAGGGCAGCCTGGGGGGTGGGGGGTGCAAGGGGGGGGGTTAATGCATGTGAAATGGTGGGGAGGGAGGTCTAGGTGATAAAAAAGGAGGGATGGGATCTTGCCATGCCCCAGCTGTCGGCGGCGGCTGGAGGAGTGCTGGTTAAGGGCCGATGGTGAGCGTGGAGAGGGAGGACATGCGGCACAGGATGCAGAGCGGATGCGCATGCACTCCTCCTGAAGGCGGGTGCGGGAGAATCACTGAATGATTGTGACAGCATGACAGCATGACGTCAGCAACCGCCCTGCCCCAGCCGTCAATGGTCTTTTGATGCCACCCTCCACCCACCCTCCAGCACTGAGGCCACCGCCTCGACCAGCTGGTGCAGCACCGCGCCGTCCAGCCGCAGCGGGTCCAGGTCAAACGCGCTGTTGACCAGGCACAGTGCCTGGTCAAACGGAGTCAAAACGGGGTTGCCGCATGAGGGCCGATCAGCAATCAACTGGGGGTAATGGTGGAAGCCCTGGGTGGAATGCATACAGTCATGCAAATCGCAGCATCGGCGGCCAGCGACAGGCAGCTTTCGCCTCGAGGTGCACCTGCAGCAGCAGCCGGCGGCACAGCAGGCCCGGGTGCGTGGCGGGCCCCAGGCCCGGCGGCGAGAGCAGCGCGGGGAAGGCCGCGAAGCCGCCGCTCTGCAGGGCGCGGGCCAGGTGCTCGTCGTGGCCCAGCTCGTCTGGGG